CATTTTGGTTAACATATTAAAACTTACTAATCGACTAATTGGCTTATCACTAAATCGCTTTCCGTACATCTAAATATTCTCTTAGGCGCGTTGAGGTAACAGACTTGGTTTATAGTGAATAATAAATAATAGGAAAAAATATTTCAACGAATAATCATATTTGGACTTTAAAATTTTTATTTTAAACATGGAAGACAATTCAAAATGCGTCACAAAATTTGAACTATATTGTGTGTGTTGAGACAAATATAAAATTGTGTCCATTCTAAAACATCTGAATAAATATTTTTGTCATCTGAACCGACATTACGAGTATGTAGGTACATTGAAATGGACTGAAATTTACATCAAAAGATTCTGACAGATTAATAAAGGCATTAAAAACACAATTAGGTATACTGTAACAAGACCAAATTGTTACATGAGTTGAAAATAAAGACTTAGGTACTCACGTCTTTTAAATGAGAAAAACCAACAACCATGAATAAGTCCCGATGTGAAAGTGAAAACTGCAAAAGTAACTCTGTCCTTTCTTCACGCCTTAACCACTGAAACGATTTCTGTGAAATTTAGTACAGACATAGTTTGGAACTCGAGAAAGGACATAGGATAGTTTTAATACCAAAAATCTGCAGGAAGTCACTATTCCACGCGAACGAAGTCGCGGGCAAAAGCTAGTAAGTAATGAATAAATTAAGAATATCTGACCAAAAACCAAACTGTTACCTCTCCGCGTACCCTGTCGATCTATACTATATACAAACAAACAAACAACACTACACGCTATTTTTATACATAAATAGAATACGCAACAAGGGAATGCATTGAATCTATCACAATAATTCACTATTTGAGCACAAAACATAACATCGCGCCTTATATACTCTTAATAGAGTGCACATATCAAAGGCAACACAGAATATCAACCTCTTTGTTATAAAAGTTCTTGGCAACAAGTCTGTTCAGTTTTAAAAATGGAATATAATAAATAAAAAGTGTTTTTAAGTACAACATTTTTACTGTATAATGAAACATGATTTTGATAAATTTAGCCTTAAAAAATCATAACTCCTTTTGCTTTGCCGTAGTCGGGTAAAAATGACAAGTCAAAAGTACTTTTTGAAAAAGTCAAAAGTGATAATTACCATTTATAATTTTAACATATTATAATTTTGTACAAATACTGTTACCACCAATGTGACTTTTTCAGAGTCATAAGATCTTTCTATTATTATTTAAACACCACTGACATATGGCGAAGGAAACATCGTGAGGGATCCTGAACTTCTAATTAAAAATTCTAATTATAGGTATAAGAGTTTGAATTCGCCAATCCGCCTTGAGCAAGCGTGATGATTAATGCTCAAAACCTTCTTCATGTGAGAAGAGGCCTTTGCTCAGCAGTGGACACTTAGAAGCTGGTGATGAGATGATGATGATGATACCAAATACCTGTACAGACTGTATCTACTCCAAATTGCAGGATTTTAGTCATTTTCAAAATAAATATTATCATTTAACTTCTTTAAAGTCATGTTTTATTATACAATAATAGTCAGTCGCTATAAACTTGTTAATCACAGTAATAATTAAATAAATAAACGGACACATTTTAATTATTTTTTAAAAGCTTACTCGTTTTTTGGTAAAGAACATGAATGGAAGATAGGTAAGAAATAATTATAATTATTATTATTACTGGTACTATATTTTATATTTTAAATCCAAACTTAATATTATAAATGCGAAAGTAACTCTGTCTGTCTGTCTTTTCTTCACGCCTAAACTAATGAACAGTTTTCTGTGAAATTAAGTACACACATAGCTTGGAACTCGAGACAGAACATAGGATAGTTTTTATACCAAAAATCTGCAGGAAGTCAATATTCCACGCGAACGGAGTCGCGGGCAAAAGCTAGTAATTAAATATTTCTAATACTTTTGTCTAAGAAAGAATAGAACTTGAGGACTACACAATTTTCCAACACCTTTTTCACATTTTACAAAACTGCAAGATTTTTTATGATGGAGCAAAGTAAAACCAATACATAACTTCATAATAAACGGTCCAGCCGTTATCGAGTTAAAATTGCAAAAGTTAGCCATTTTTCAAAATTAGAACATTATTTCAGTTACTAATGTGGAGATCGGGTGATCAGGGGATTAAGAATGGAAGAAGAGTCTCCAGGAACCTCATAAACCCAGACAAAATAAATCCTAAGGAATAGTTTATGTAATCATTCAATGAAGCGCGTCTAAACGATATTTTAGATTGACATTTCGATGCTTGAACTTTTTGTGAACGCCAATATAAAATATAATAACAGTAATAATAAAAATTGCACATTTCGTTCATATTACTCGAAATATTTTAAATAGGTATTCGTTCTTTAACGTCGCTTCTACCTTGGTATAATAATAATAATAATATCATGCAACATAACCTCAAAATTTCATACATAAATTATTTTAAGTACTAAGGCTACAGAATTTGGAATCCGTTGCAAAAAATCAAATATCTACTGCCAAGAGTTGCGTAAACATTTTATTTTAAGAAATCTAATCTGTTAAAATAAATTGGTTGTTTGTTTTATCGCGCTAATCTCCGAAACTACTGGTTGTGTTTTTTGGCCTTTCTTTGAGCGTTTTCATTTCATATCTTAAATTTGAAATGATATTGGCAACAATTTTTCTTTGACCACGCAAACAAAACCCTTCATTGGTGAACTTAAAATAACAACGGCTTACGCAACTGTGGACAGATACCTAATAATAGCTTCACTACATCATTTTTTAAATAACTCATCGCTTATGTACAAAAATCCTTTTTTAAATATCATACACTTTATAATACAATTAATTGATTTTCATTATTTCGCTTATCAACTTACAAATTACATTATTAAAGTTAAAAAATAATAATTTAGCTAAATAAATAAATATTACGTAATTTAATACAATAAGTTCAACGATTACAAAACTTTTTTTTTTATTCATATTTTTGGCACGAATTTATTAATACTTTATTTTACAAATTCTACTTTTCATTATTCAACTTTTAATACAAAATATAACAATTATTATAATATTATGCGTTTCTTTTTTTTTCGAAATGTCAATAATTTTATACAAATTCTCAGGCGAACACGTTCAGCGGGTATGGTAACACTGGAATACATAAGTGTTGCCAGCCTTAACATTTTATTTGAACACTTTTATCAATTATTTTGGAAATTATCTTTTTGAGATCACTGACATTACAATACATTTTCAAATTCTTCTTAATTACAATAATATAAACTAATTCAACAATTTATCAATCGTACCAATCTTTCAATCACATTGCCGATTGACGTCACTAGCACTTGGTCCATTATTGAAAAATACAAAAACCTCCAACACTATGAATCAACTTGTCAACAACACTATTCAACCGTGTCAATCACTTAGTTTATAATATCAATACAGTTCAATCAACCAATCGTTCAATCACCGATTGATTGACAGCTGCCCCTTAGATTGATCAATCGTTTAGCGTCAATTGTTAATTTTCTGAGGCTTCTGTTATTATGTTGTCGATGCCTGTAAATATTTAATAAAATATAATTAGTAATATTATAAATAATAATAAACCTCTTACGAGGGATTTAATCTTCAAGTTTACTTTTGTATTAATGTTTTAAACTACATTCATAAAAATAAGGGTAAGCATCTACCTTACCGCGCGAGTTTTAATCTATAGCTCGCTTTCCTATACATATAAACGACTAAATAAATTGGAATTTTATTTTAAAACTTGACAAAACGAGAGATTAGATCTGCAAAAAGACGCAGACGAAAAAGAAGTAATACAAAATAAAAGAATTTTGCCTTTCGGCCCTATACCCAAAAACTGACCACTAAAATCACGCAAGCATGTAGTTACCTGGCTAGGCGAGCGTGGAGAGGTGTCAGGGCGTATGCGCGGGCTGCAGCGCGCAGTCGGGGCAGCTGCGCATGCGCACGTCGTAGCGCTCCACCTGCAGCGTGCACAGGGACACTCCGTGCTCCGTGCGCGCTACTTGCTGGCATGCACGGAGCACTGACTCGCCGTCAGTTAGCTCGTCTGAGGAGTAAGTGTAAGTATTGTATGCACAGGGACACTCCGTGCTCCGTGCGCGCTACTTGCTGGCATGCACGGAGCACTGACTCGCCGTCAGTTAGCTCGTCTGAGGAGTAAGTGTAAGTATTGTATGCACAGGGACACTCCGTGCTCCGTGCGCGCTACTTGCTGGCATGCACGGAGCACTGACTCGCCGTCAGTTAGCTCGTCTGAGGAGTAAGTGTAAGTATTGTATGCACAGGGACACTCCGTGCTCCGTGCGCGCTACTTGCTGGCATGCACGGAGCACTGACTCGCCGTCAGTTAGCTCGTCTGAGGAGTAAGTGTAAGTATTGTATGCACAGGGACACTCCGTGCTCCGTGCGCGCTACTTGCTGGCATGCACGGAGCACTGACTCGCCGTCAGTTAGCTCGTCTGAGGAGTAAGTGTAAGTATTGTATGCACAGGGACACTCCGTGCTCCGTGCGCGCTACTTGCTGGCATGCACGGAGCACTGACTCGCCGTCAGTTAGCTCGTCTGAGGAGTAAGTGTAAGTATTGTATGCACAGGGACACTCCGTGCTCCGTGCGCGCTACTTGCTGGCATGCACGGAGCACTGACTCGCCGTCAGTTAGCTCGTCTGAGGAGTAAGTGTAAGTATTGTATGCACAGGGACACTCCGTGCTCCGTGCGCGCTACTTGCTGGCATGCACGGAGCACTGACTCGCCGTCAGTTAGCTCGTCTGAGGAGTAAGTGTAAGTATTGTATGCACAGGGACACTCCGTGCTCCGTGCACTGTGTACTTTCAATAATAAAAAGTCATACAAAGTTATTTCTGTGAGTATTTAAGAGTGCATTTTTTTTATACTGACCTTATTCTAGTTACGCCTAAACCTTATGGAAAAAGAAACCGAAGTTAAGAGACAAAGAAGTAATACATACCTATAGCAATATGCGCGGACAGTACGACGTAGTGCGTGGAGAGTGCCCACACGTGTAGCGAGTGTACGTGGCGCACTCCCGGCACCGACGATAGCGCCGCCACGCACTCCCGGTACCTGCCATATAAAATAACAGTGGTTCGCTCGTTTGACACGCTCCGAATATCCGTATTAGCGGATCGGATATCCGAAGAAAAAGAAAAATCCGTCTCCGTTACTTCTCACGCGGATATTTACGGGTGGTAATCAATCAGATAGAATTAACATCATTTACCATCACAAAATATTAAAAAATTACACTGAAAAACCTCTTAGTTGACATTATTTTAAAACTGTATCAAAACAATAAATAAAGTAATGTATACAGTGTCTTGACACTAAATATCCGTATTCGGATCCGTATCCGCGAATATACATTTTAACGATCCGGCACATCATGAGTTATCTAATAAAGAAGAGCCAGATAATGTCGTAGTTGTTAAGGGCTTAAGGCATCCGCTTCTCATACATGAGTGTTCGAAATCTGTCAAGTACCTATGTGACTTTTTCCAAGTTATACAGTCTGACACTCCCTTCCGTCCCACCGTGGAGAGGAGTAGTAATTTGATGATTTTCTCCTCACAAAAAAGGGTCTAATTGAAATAAATGATTTTGACTTTTAACTTTGACTTCAAACGGAAAGCAACGAGTTCTACCAATTTACCTGAAGTTCTTGGGCACAGCTTGCATTAGCATGGCCAGTGCATCCCTGACGACCTGCGCCGACGTCAGTAGCACCAGGAAACTGAATACGAACGTACAGATCGGATCCACCACTTTGGCTTCAGGCTGAAATTAATTATTGTACGTAAGTTTAATTGGACGTGTGTTCATCTCTTAGCGATGTTGAGATCCTCAATTTTAAATGTCTAACGTTTAATAATACTAAGAAATTAATAAATTAGGGCGTATGCATATACTCTAGCTACCCCCTCTGCGTCCCAATCCCCCAATTCTGAACTAACTTCGTTGATGATGCGTGTGTATATATATGGGCCGAGTCGATTGCTTACTATTGCTGTATAGGAAAAGTTAAACAACACATTTTTATCGAGCGAATGTGGTTAATGGAGGTCCAATTTCCTGGCCCCTCACATGCATTTTTTATTTATTTATCAGCTACTCTCCTGCGGTTTCACTCGTTGCTCGGCTCTAACAGATCAATCACGCTACGACGACGAGCCAAGAGAAAGAATTTTGGAAAACCGACGAGCGATCCCAAAGACTACCCCCTACATACAAACTTACAAATTTTACCTTATTATAATATGAGTATAGATTAATAAGTTTATAAAAGGAAATCAAAAAATAATAACGATATCATAGGAAAATAATGTCTCGATATAAATAGGTTTAAAAATTACCTCCTACATATAATCTTACAAATTTTGCCTCTTTATAATATTAGTATCAGGAAAAAAAATAATGCACATAGTACATAGTCTCGCTAGCCAACCTCTGGCTTATACAGTAATAATATGGATAATGAAAGTACAAGAAAGAAAACGCAGCCTACAAAATAAAAATGTAAAGGGATATCACATGGAAATATCAATACTTACATAGAACTTTATTAATATGGAAGCGAGCAGCACTCCGCAGCTCTGTATGAGGTCACCAATCACGTGGATTAGTGCCGCACGAAGATTTATATTCCTGAAAACACCATTTTGCATTGTTCACTAATTAAAAACTGTTATTTACTTAGACAGTCGCCTACTATCAAACATAACAAGCAAAACATCAGCTTATAGGTGCCCATTGCTGAGCAAAAGCCTCTTCTCACTTTTGAGCTTTAATCACCACGCTTGCTCCAGGGGAATTGGTGATTTCTTAAATTATAAGTCCGGGTTTCCTTACTATATTTTCCACAGTATTTTTGTGGTGTCTTATTAATCATAGAAAGTGTATATCTCGGAAAGTCACGTTGGTACTTGCTAGGCTTCGAACCTGCATCAGCATTAGGAGCGGGCTCCTTAACCTCCAGGCCACCACGATCAAGCATAACATCGAAGCGTTATGTTAGACTAGCTACCTCCTGTCCGGGTTCAACCACTACTCGATTAGTCTTAGTTGTAATGTGATGTTTTAAATGGAATATCCAACACGAAAACATTCATTCAATTCGATCCAGTCGTTTCGGAGATAAGCACGATCAAACAAATCATATATATTACAAAGTATAAACCAAAACCGCTCTCTGTCCCTATATCCCTATGTATGCTTAAATCTTTAAAACTACGCAACGGATTTTGTCACGGTTTTTTAACAGATAGAGTGATTGAAGTGTTTATATGTATAATCGCATCCATAAAATAGTGAAAAATTTAGTACCAGCATTGCCGTGTGAAGCCGGGGCGGGTCGCTAGTTAGTTATTACACAGAAATATAGAAAATAAATTTTAATATAGTTAGAGAATTGGTTTGGTATTACAAAAGTATTTTATGCTTTTTCAAAGCGTTTTGCAAAGCATTTACAGTTGCCTAAAATAAGCCAAAATTCCTAAAAGAAGGGAGGAAAAAGCACACTAAAATTTTGTTAAGTTATAAAAAAAAATAACTTACCTAGGCTGGGAACCCACAACGCTAGCTTCGACGGTGGCGAGATCCTTCATGTTATAGTCTCCATTAGCGAGCGCGCCGTTGGCGTGCTTGTGGTCACGAGCTCGCCGGAACAGTCGCCAGCCGCGCGAGCTGCCTGTGTTGTGTGAGTGCGCGTGCGCATGGGAACACGCCGCGCCGCCGTGCGTGTGGTGGTGAGCTGAGAGGGTAGATATTGGTAAAATCAAAGTCAAAAATCATTTATTTCAATTAGACCCTTACAGGCACTTTGAACGTCAAATAAAATTCAAAGATATAAAGTGCCAGTCTGTCGGTCAGTTCTCTTAGTGAAGCTATGTGCCCATTCCAAAGTGTAGATTCCGATGGAGAAGAACGAGCAAGAAACTCCATGGTTACTCTTTTTAAATTAGTTTCATACACAGATTCCTTATACAAACAAGGTTAATAATTTATTTTAAGTTCAAAAAGAGTTTCGAAGACATTTTAATTAAAAAAAAACGATGAAGCTTTACATTTTTTTTTATTACCATTGCAAGTGATTCATACTTACAAAAAAAAATTATATGATCAACTAGCAACTGTGCAAGGCAACGTGTCACGGGTTCGATTCCCGAACGGGACAACACTAAGAGTCATGCACAAATTGTTGTTTCGTGTCTGGGTGGCTTGTGTACCTATGTGAATTTGTAGGTTCGTGAACGCACCCACAACACGGGAGAAAACCCAACAGTGGGACAACCTCTATTTAAAAATAATGTTGCGATGTTATTTTGACAGTACCTATATTTCTGAAGCTACAGCTTATTCAATTGAAGTCTTTATTTATCATTCAGAGTTATTTAAAACGACCGCAAAAGGGCAAAGAAACGTATCCCAGCAAAACCAAAAACAAAGATGAACAAATATATTGGTAATGATCACCTTAACACCATACAAAATCACGATCTTACTCACCTATATCCGAGGCGCAGCCATGTAACACCAGCGCCAGAATAACATTGAACCCGACTCCACAACCAGACACAATCATCATCATATCCGGCTCGATGTTGTACTCCCCCGTGTGCAGTCTCACGACAGCCACGTACACGAAGATCCCCGTCAGAATCCAGATCAGGAGGACTGATAGCATCGCGCCCAGGACCTCTGGAAGAAAATTGGATTTTAAAAGAGGAAATACTGGCTTCATCTTGATTTTTATGTATTACCTACTAGCGGCCCGCCCCCGCTTCGCACGGGTCCTACTATCTCGCTATCAAAGGGTCACTTTTTCCTAATCTTCCCCACTACTTTTCTTATATTTTCTTTGATAAGAACCTTCTCCTGACAATAACAAACATAAAAAAAAAGAATTAGTAAAATTGGTCTAGGCGTTGTTGAGTTATGCGCTTACCAACACATTTTATGATTCATTTTTATATATAAGAAGAAGAAGACTAGCTACTGCTCGGCTCCTACGTATCGTAGGGTGATGTTTTATAGCCATAGCATAAAAAGAATTGTTCTATTCGAACCAATAGTTCCGGAGATTAGCACGGTCAAAAAACAAATTCTTCAGCTTTATAATATAAGTGTAGATTTTGATGTGTTAAAGTGACGTTTCATGGTCTATTTGCAAAAATAAATAAAAGATGGAAATCTTTCAGGAAAGTTTATCAATATTTGTTTGCCTGAACTCACAAATCTGTTGAACTAACTCGTGATAGAGCGTCAAATTTTAAAAATACTTAGACCAATTGTTTTACTAATCAGACAACTTAATATATTAAAAGACCGAAATTATACATTTTAGAAGTGTTCATCGTCGTCATAACCAACTTCATCGTCATTTAAAGTGTCCACTGTTTGACCAACCAGACTTGCTCAATGCGGATTGGCAATTTCAAACTTATATTATGAATTAATAGCTATTCTCGTGCGAGTACAATCGCTGCCTGCCTCTAGAACTCAGGAACGTTGTAGCTATCTATCAGTGACAGAATTTTGGAATTCCGAAAAGCTGTTCCAAAGATTACCCTCTACATAAAAACTTATAAATTTTAGCTCTTTATATTCTTAGTCCAGGTGCCACTATGTTGTCCTTCACCATCTGACATTCTATTAAACACAAAAATGGCGGACTCACCAGCACGTTTATACCCGTAAGACATGTGGACATCAGGTCGTCGTTTCGCGCAGTGGAAGGCGAGCAGTGCCAGGGCGAATCCACCGCAGTCGCTGAGCATGTGAGCCGCATCGCTCATCACTGATAGACTGCCTGCTAGATACCCGCCGATAAGCTCGCATACCTGTGGAAATAGCGCAGGAAGAAATTAACGTTTGATATTCGGTTCTGTATCTACATCTTTTCTTACAGCATATACAGAAAATATATCGCAGAAGAACACTCTTTCAAAGGCAAAGTTAGAATCATTTATTCCAACTAAGCTTACTTTTGAAACATCAAAATAGAATATATGTAGATTGTCAGTCAGTCAGTTTGTTTGTGAAACTAGGTGCTCGTTCCAAAGTATGAATTCGAATGAAGAGGAACGAAATCTTTGGGTCGGAGAATGTCAGACTGTTACTAACTAAAAAAATCTATTGTAACTCCTGTTCTGAGGCCTAGGTATCTTATCACCATAAGACTTTTACCCACAACTCTGGACTTTTCGAGAACCAAAAGCTATTAGCAGATATGCACATACAGAATGTTACACCCAGATTTTACAATTCATGAGTTAAGTGTGGGAGAGCCATGCTTCAGCTCGAATGGATCGGTTCGACCGGAATGATACGAAGACCCCACAGAAAACCGCCGTGAAACAACCACTGCGTTGTGTTTCACCGCGTGATTGAGGTTACCAGAAGCCCATTCCTTTTCCGTCCCTCAAATCCCAAAAGATCGGCAACGCACTCGTAACTCCTCTTATATTGCGGGTGTCCATGTACGGCGATGATTGCTTACCATCAGGTAATATGTGGGCACGATTGACGATTGGCGTAATATCACATAATAAAAACATATGAGACCCATCGTCATAATGAGCGTTTAACCTATTTGCATACACGGCTTTCCAATTTAAAACCCGAATTACACTTTGCCCAACCAAGCAAACAATCCCTATACCCGTAAACTAAGCAGCCGCATTGACCATCGACATTTTTCTAAAAAAAAAGAAGAAATTGGCACAAACACCCCTAACGAAGCAAATAAATTAAACCATCCTAGAAAGTAGGTATTGCATTGGCATTTTATAGCACAGACTATGTAGGTTAACGTCAGCGGTACTCGTGTCAACAACTTTGGATTTATTGCTGGAGCACAATTGTTGCAAATAGGTCACATGGGATTGCATTCATTTTTATTGTGCACCCCGTGATTGCGCAATATGTGCGAGAATATTTTTTAACTGCGATATTGCCTTTAATAGCATAAAGTGTAGGAGAGCCCTGCTTTGGCACCAATGACGATCACGATTTTATAGAAACATCACTGCACTTCTGCTTCACGCAAGCAACCAGGTTGAGGTTACCAGAGGCCCAATCCTTCCCACATCCCGAAAGTCTCGTCATCCTCAAAACCCTACACACGAGGCCGTCACGCACTTGGAAGTTTTTAAGCTTCTCGGCATTGCGGTTAACTATTGGCGGCCGTTGCTTCTTGTACTCTGTGTTTTCGCAAAAAACGATTATTGAAATAATCCTCACATGCTTATTATCTAGCGATATTCCTAAGCTGCCCATTAGGAACATGATTTTCCCCTGACAAAAAAAACCTTAGGAACATCGGTTCTTTAAACCATACCGCTGAATTTCCCAACATATACAAAAGGATTTCTCCACCCCTAACACTAAACAAACTATAAATCTATAAAACGATACGACCTTCATAGTAACCACACGCACGATTGACCTGACGGCCAAATCAGACGAATGACAATAAACCTATGCCCGATATTTCCAATTTGGGATCCTCAAAAACGACCGTAATGGAAAAAACCTTCGAAGTATTAACACGATCCATTGAACTATCGGATCAGAATTACGAATAGGTCGGCTTTTGGTATTTAGGGACTACGCAAAAGATAGTGAAAATTTTTATACGCATGTCCATATGTGGTAGTTACGAGTATCTGTGTGGCACTTTATATTGAAAAAGGTTTCGATAAGTTGAGTGTTAAGTTACGTACGTTCGATAAAATATATTTATGTACCTATATGGTACTCCTATTCTATTATTTTGTTACACGCTAATTGTCACATTATTTTTACCCTGCATCTTGGCGTGTCAGTATTGAGTTTGAAAAATCTCACATAGTTTGCAAGTGCGCTATCGAGTTTGTGAATATTTGAGGATTGTGGGATTTGTGGATTGAGTTTTCGGTAACATCACACTGTCAAATACAATGCAAACGTTGTTTCACGTCGGTTATCCAGTCATGTTGGTTCATTCGTGCCGAAGCTTGGCTTTCTCACGTTGATTCACCTCTTTTAGCCACATCGAAAATATAACATCAGCACCGTGGACTCAACAAGACAAGCAGGGTTTGGGACTTGTCCGAAGGAGGTTACGATTCCTTACGCAGAGGCTATCCATTGGCAACGTGATCCACAAAAAATACTTGAAAAAAACGTACGTACCATAAAAATTCCACATAAAACTAGAGCTATAAGAAGCTGTGGTATTGCGCTGGGCGGCTGCGCAGGCGGCGGCCAATGACAGTGCTCCACGTCCGAAGATGGCGCCACCGGTACGTCCGTGTACGTTTCCTGGAGACAAAGCAATTAGTATTATTAATACATGAGTATTGAGGGCTTTAATTAATTTATTTATGCTTAAAAGTACATACATGGTAGACAAAGGTATATTATAAGGCGGACTAAATGCATCATGGCATTCTCTGCCAGTAAAGATAACGTTTTTTATTTTTTATATTTAAAAAAAACGTTGCCCCACATTAGGATTTTCTCCTGTGTTGTGGGTGCGTTTACAAACATACAATTTCACATGCACATCTCACCCAGATCCGGAACAACAATCTGTGGATCACACAAAGAGTTGTTCCGTGCGGGAATCGAACCCGCGACACGTTGCGCGGCAGCCAGTTGCTCAGCCACCGCGCCAACCGTGCAGTCGATTTACATTTTAAAAGTTTTGTATTTTAAAGCTGTAAAAATATGTGAATTTGACAGTTATTTTTTTAGGTTTAGCAGGCTATTGTTATAGGCACAAATTGAAAAACTGCTTATTTAGTTTTAAGTCTGTTTGCCAGTAACAACTCCTAACATCTTATTAATCAACCTGCATAGAAAAATTTCACAAATTACACAAATTACTTCATTCGACAATTTAATTCAAAACGTTAATTTGCGTTTGTGTCGCGCTAGAAGCGACATGGTGTCATACATTAACACTTTTATAAACTTGTGTGTTTTGTCATAACGCGAGTTGTCAAATTTAAAAAAACCGGAGCTTTCTGTCGGTTTTCTATTTGCACCGCTACAGTAGGTACTACTAGCAATATATTTCGAGCTTTTTTTTGTGAGGGCAAAATCATCAAATGACTTCTCCCGCCCAGGGTGGGGCGGGAGGGAGTGTCAGACTCTTACTGGCTAAAAACCCCCTGTTCCTACTCCTGCTCTAGGCCGAGGTCGCGGTGCCTCATTGCGCTTACCCCGCAACCCCGGCTGAACATCAGCCCTATGGGGCCCCGTCTGCGGTGGTCTATTGGCTCTTTGAGGCGCGCGCGGAACGCTACGCGCCGTACGCTCGGGTCCGGTTCTGGTCGGGCGGCGAGCTACCCTTACTCGCCGTCCGCACACTCGGGCTTACGGTGGCCGGAGATCATCTCTCGAATATATACAAATACCGGTTACTGAAAATCTATATCGTGATAGTAGGTACTGAATGCGAGATATCATATCTAATCGATCGAACCAACTTAATAATGTACCGAAGAATCTGTATGTGAAACTGATTTAAAAAGAGTAACTATAAAGTTTCTTGCTTGTTCTTCTATTTTGGAAAGAGCAAATACGACAGACAGACACTGTTTATCTTTAAGCTTTGTTTGACGTTCAAAAGTGCAATTTTATTAGACCCATACGGCCTTATTACAAAACAAGGTTTTACTTTACTGGACTAAACTACGGACTAAACCATTGAGTCAGTTTTTGTATTTCGAATTAAAGGTAGATGACATTAAGATTCAAAATTTAAAACCCGACTCAATGGTTTAAACCTGGACTAAAGATAAACCTTGTTTTGTAATAAGGGGGATACTGTCTAATTGAAATAAGTGATGTTCACTTCGAATTTCAAATATCATAAAATAAATACTCATAATTTTAAAAACAAAACACTAAAGAGGTATAATAACAATAATAGCCCACGCAAGAGTACTCACGGCACGGCACGTCATAACGCAAAAAGCCGTTATATGAACAACGTAAACGTTTTTATACAACGTAACGTTACGTCAATGCCGGGCACGCTACCATAGCAGCGGTAAGACCCCTCTTTGAGGAGTGGCTTGAGAGACGCCACGGCGTCCTCACCTTCCGCCTGACGCAGGTGCTTACCGGGCACGGCAGCTTCGGTAGGTTCCTGTTTCGGATTCAGCGGGAGGAAACGCCCGAGTGTCGTCATTGTGAGGACCACCTAGAGGATACGGTGGAGCATACGGTAGCGGTATGCCCTGCCTGGGCTGAGCACCGCCGTATCCTCAGGGAAGTGATCGGCGGCGGCGACCTCTCGCGCCCGGCCTTAGTCGAGGCCATGGTGCGGAGTGAGAGGAACTGGGACGCCGTCTCCTCCTTTTGTGAAGCAGTCATGCTCGCAAAGAGAGAGGCGGCCCGCGTGAGGGAGCAATCCTCCTCCTCACGCCCCAGCAGCCGCAACTGGCGACACTACGGGCGTCGGGGATCGAGGAACGATCTCCGGCCACCGTAAGTACGGGCCTGCGGTCGGCGAGTAAGGGCAGCTCGCCGCCCGACCAGAACCAGGCCCGAGCGTACGGCGCGTAGCGTTCCGCGCGCGCCTCAAAGAGCCAATAGACCACCACAGACGGGGCCCTAAAGGGCTGATGTTCAGCCGGGGTTGCGGGGTAAGCGCAATAAGGTACCGCGACCTCGGCACAGAGCAGGAGAAGGAACAGGGGGGTTTTTAGTCAGTAAGAGTCTGACACTCCCTCCTGCCCGGCCCTGGGCGGGAGAAGTCATTTGATGATTTTCCCCTCAAAAAAAAAAAAAAAAAAAAACGTTACGTCAACGCATAATAACGGTGCTTAACGTAAAAAGAGGGGGATAAATATCACGCCTGTAATGTCCCTGTTACTAGGGAGGGGTGTTTATCACTGAGAATGCTTGTAAAATTTTATGTACTAAGTGTAATAAGTGTTCTTGGGTAAAAATACTTCAGTGCTTAAATAGCACGCTTCGTTGGCTTCTCAGACGGTATCTAAGCTAGGAACGTGAGTAATTCCGATATTGTACGCTCAACCATTGCTAATGGAGGAGAATTTTATTAACTGTGTTAATAAGTGTTAGAAAAACTTCTAAAAATAAACTATATATACTTGCCCCGTAAGATCAACGACCGGAACGAAAAGTTTGGTCAAAAGAATCGTCCAGAAATTGAAAAATACTTTCTTTTTATGTATGTTTTGCATAATAATAGCGTTACTCATATTATAATATTTTTGAAAACGAGCACTGTAAACATCTACATAACACATTATCCTATGAAAACACCAGCCGTGGTCGCGGTTGCAAGCGTAATGATCCGGACTATCCGGACTGCAAGAAAAGGAACGGAAAGTTTTTAGATAGTACCTAAGCTTCTGACACCTTTTCTCGCCCCAAAACACGACGGGGGAAGGTATTCAAGGATTTTCCTCCTACAAAATGGACCATATGAAACCCAATGGTGAGAAAATAATACTTAATAGCGCCTAATCTCCACATACACTACACCATTGGGTTTGCTATATGCGGAAATATCTTAGGAAAAATCGTAGCTCAAAACAGACAACACAATTAAGAGCTTTAGAATAGGTTATCAAACGTTGCAATCATCGAACATTCAGTGTTAGCCAGAATATCCTTCAGAACGTGGGTTTCATCCAATGATTCCCAGGTGGGCCATCTCATCTTAGGTCACAATGTATGTAGACAGTGGTTCCTGCTTAACGTACATAGAGGGGGTTAAATATCACGACTAGATTATTCCTGTTGTTGGACAGGAAAGTATATCACTTGGAGAATGCAAGTATTTTTATGTACCATAGTTATGAGTCTGTTCTTTGATAGTAAACTATGCACAAGATTCATAAATATTCCCGTACAAGCAAGGTCTGAAAAGGACGGCTACGATTGCTTATGTAGACGCTATCCGCCAGATTGTTTGACAATATGTCCCACTAAAAAACAGTCGTCTATCCACATTGCGAGCAGACATCCAACGGTGCGTTTTCTAATAAATATCAAAACGACTTATATATGAACAATTACGTAAATAAAATCAACATAAGTCACAACCGAGATTAGATACTAAGAAGAAAAATACTCACATTAAGCTTCTTCATTTTCTCAATAAAAACAGTTTCTCTTTCTTTCAAATCCCAAGACCTCATCATGGCTACCAAATACTAAATTATTCCGCTACATTAAGCTAAGGTACAAAATATTATTTTTTACTTTGCGTGGGTACTAATACAAAGAGAAATTAAAGCGGCCCATGGACTAAGCGTTTTTGTCGTCTGAATGTCGCAATATGAAAAGACAAGGTCACGTTTTATTGTGTACGACAAAAACAATGGATTTTTGTTTTATTTTCAACGTGAGTTATCAATCAATGAGTTTGGTGAATAAAGAATTTCAATGAGGTTTTATTTGCGGTGTGAATAACATTAAGTTTTCCATGCTTAGAATTTTAAAGTGGGGTTTTAAAAATCATAATAATCACCATCATCAGCCTTTAAGTGCCCACTGCTGAGCAAAGGCAAAATCGCCACGTTTGGTCAAGGCAGATTGGCGATTTCAAACTTATAATTTAGAAGTTATAAGTCCAGATTTTCACGATGTTTTCCTTCACCGTATGTCAGTGTTGTCTAATTAATTTAAAGAAAGTACATATAAGTCGGAAAAAGTCACATTGGTAGTTGCCGGGTTCGAAGCCGCACCCTCCTGCTTGAGAAGCGGGCACCTGAACCTCCAGGCCACCACGACATTAAAATTTTTAAAGTTATATAAGACAAACATTTTCATCTCTTATTAGAATCTTTAAAACTTCGTAGTATGACTCCGATTTATATTTATTTTTCTCAGTATCAGCTATGTTAACCAATCAATCTTACTAACACGTAAACTAAGGCAAAATACTGAAAAAAAAAACAACTCAATATACACAATTAATTTACATTGTAACAAGACCCATGCATGTCGCGAATGAAATAGTTTTCACACGACAAACAATTGCCATTTTAGATTAATTGCCAAACTGAGATTGTCGCGCTGTGAATGGCGGGCTTCACATCTGTGATATTTGAAAAAGAGGGTAAATATTCTACGTATTTCAAAATATGGCATGGTGTGACCAAGTTATTTAAATGGAACAGATAATAAATTGCATGATTGAAATACATTGAAAGTGTAGGTACCTACTTACATTTTTTTATGATATCGATTTGTGGGTTTTTGTTATGTGTTTTTTTATTGTTTATTTATGTATTCGATAATTATGTGCGTTCTTTTTTTAAAACCAATTGATG